TTTTTTTTTTTAACTTGAATGTGAACTGCATTGTGAAAACACAAGAAAATATAAATCAAAATTCTGTAGTTGAAATAATGGTATTAAAATGAATGCCCATAAGCCCACCATCCCATTTAAAAAACAGACTATCACTAGTATGTTGAAAGCACCACTCTACCACTGGGACTTTCTTGATTGTATCCACTTCCCCACTCTCTTCTGGGGCCCAGTTACTACCCTGAATTTTGTGTTACTCATTTCCTCTACAGGTTCGCTACTAACGCTATATCCCTAATGAGATATGATGCGAGAATGTGTATTCTTCGCATCTTGCCTTTTTTACCCAACAGCGCCCTGGAGATTGAGTTACATTGAGTTCCAGTATGTGTGTGGTAGTCATCCTTTTGCTTTTACTACTTTATAATATTCTGTGAGAGGACTATACCGCCATTTATTTATTCATTCTCTGTTGATGGATATGCTCTACAGTTTCTTTTTAGATACAATTTGATGTAAAATACAAGCGGTGATTAAGGTTTTGCCTTAATAGGATTTTTCCCCCGATAATTCATGTGGTTTGGAGCAATGACGGCTTCCATGGGCCTCTGGGAACTCAGGGTGATAAAAATCAAAAGGTCTTTTATGAGCAACAATATTAATGAATATAAGAATGTATATTAATTTCTCATGCTCCAGTAGCAACGGCTGAATTTAAGAGAAGAGAAATGTGTTCATTAGGTAGAGTGCCCATATAAAGAGACAAATGTAATTCTTGCAGAGAATTAGCTGCCATATTTAAATCTAATATTTAACTCCATGGTGGTCACATGTTCAGTGGGAATTAAATTGCCACTTGATTTACTTTCATCATGTCAAGGCAAGTATTTAAGTTCTTTTCGTTTTTGATTTACAGTTAAAAAAAATTTCAGATAGGAGAAGAAATCGGTGGGAAATAAGTTTAAGTTTTTAAAGCTATGGGTAAAGCCACATTTCCATCACCTTCAAAACTAAAATTGATGAGACCAGTTTTCCTATACTGACCTTGAAAGCAGTAAGTGCATCTTTTCGTTCAGAAATGGGCTATTTTGCATTAATTTGCTCTGTTGGTTTGGGACACAATAGATTATATGAAGGGTGGCCTTTTGCCAATGTATTCCCTCTCATCAGAATTTCTCTCTTAGAAGACTAGAAGCCACTCAGAAACACAGGTAACACTTTTGTGTTTGTATTTACATTCCTGACAGGGCCTTACAGTGTTTTGCATACAGTTGGTACAATAAAAATATTTATTGAAAAAATGTATCAAATGGTAATAACAGCCACAGATAAATGCTATTTAATCATATCATTTCAGTTAACTGACAACAATCCTATAGGCCATAAAGCAGCCAAATTCTCAGAGGTCAGGGGTGGAGAGAATAACTAACCTGAAGCTCTCCTTTCACTGACCTAAGAATTTCTTCCTAATCTCTTCCAAGAGAGTATGGGGCCCTCCTTGACTCAAATAAAATCTTGGCTATGCCCCGAGGACCTCCATGGCCTCAAATGGAGGCCATCCTCCAACCTCAACCCCAGGTACTTCAGAGCCTGTGTGCCTGATTTCTGGCCACTACCCCCTCTCTTCAGCTAGAGCTCCAGCTATCTCAAAGTATCTACTTTAAGGAGCCATCAGTCTCTACACCATTTCTGTCCCCTCATTGCTGGTTATTCCTCTCATCCACTGAGCTCCCCTGCCTACACTCTCCCTCTCCACCCTACCAGTGTCTCCATTCTCAGGGCCTGTGGCACAGAGAAGTTCAGTAACTTGCCTAAGCTGCAGAAACCCTGGACTTCCATTTATCCTGAGTCTTTCAGTGCTGTAGCTAAGAGCCCGGCATCGGGAGGTTTGGTCTGGCGGTCTGAATGGCATTAAGGTGACTTTTTCTGGGAGCAAGACTGTCTTAATGAAGGAAGAAATGCACTGATTCACATTCTGGACAAGCTCTTTACGTCACGGTGGACTAGCACTTTGAATAACACTGTCTTTAAGGGCCCTATGAACATTTGGATTCATTTTATACAAAATATTCTGAGTGAAGTGAGTCTAAAGATCCCATGATAAATAAGCTATCAGGTAAGCATATAATTTTTTTACATTTGGAGGAAAACTCAAAAAGATAGTTGATTTTTAAAAAAGGCTTCATAGGAAAGTTTTTCTTTAAAATTCACCTTGCCTGAAGACAAGGAGGTATCAGTAAGAGATATAGGTGGTTTAACAAATACACCTTCAAACTCAGGTGGTCTGCAGACCGATCCATGTACCCTGATACAGTCAAAACAAAGCATGTGATTAGATATTCTATGAATAAATCTACTTTACAGAATCAGAGAGAAATTGATGACCAGCAATAATAATCAGTGGCTAAAACTATCCGGACATCTTTGTCATTAATGGAATTTTCCAGAGTGAAAATTTGGGGCCCTTGGTCATTTGCTTCAAGAGTACCAGAACTGAGTAGATTTCCAGTTTTCTGTTAGTATCACGTAATTACAACCACTGACAAATGCGTTTTCTCACAAGTACCTGCAGTAGTTTACGGATACACTTGCAATTTCAGATGGTTTAAATCACGTTCCTGGTATTGATATCTCCCAGAAGCAGATATTCTATATATGCACATGCAGGCTACAGATGAAGTATTCATCCACGTCTGTATCTATTACTACTAACTCTAAAACTAACTAACTAAGTAACTAAGTAAATAAATAAATCAATAAAACCCTACCCACTTAAGGATGAAATTGGAACTATGTGCTTCCA